CTTAGCAATATGCTGCGCCTCTCCCCATGTATGGATGGGTACCGAGCCCCGGTATTAAACGGGCTCCGCGCGGGCCGGAATTATTAAAGACAGTGGTAACGTTAAGCTCCGACGTTATCTGACTTTTTATCGGTACTGGAGACATTTAAAAAATATATGTCCTATGTAGTATTGCTACATAAACATTATATCACAGTTTTAGTTTATCCAACTCCGTTTCTAATATGCAATAAGACTACAACATGCGTCTATGATGTATTTTCGAGCTTTCCAATCCAGACGAGATCTCTCTCTCCCGTCTGTGTGCGAGGGGGCGGGGCAGTTTATAAAGGTCTCCTGACTGTGTTACAGACTGTCCTCCTGGTTAGTGGTTAATCTGGGTTCTGTCTTCAGGACAGAGTGTTGGATTTTTTTTGTTAATTGGATGGGACTTGATTTGATTCAATATTAGTAATTTTCTCGTTTGTGTGTTTGTTTAAATATATTTGGCCTTTGTCATGTGATTGACTGATTTACTCAAATAAAAAGGTTGATGAATTATCATCTAATGATTTGTATGATGTTTTATTTATGTTAGAGGTCACATTGAATGATTTTAACTAATGATAAGTAGTAGAAAAACTAATATTTTTAATTCGGGACGGTCCACATTAATTTCGGGACGGCTTAGATTGTATTTCGGGACGGTTCCGGGAGGATGGTGAAAAAAGTTAGTCGAGAGCCCTGGGCTTTTTTTAATGCGGAAGTAAAAAGAGCCCTGGGCTTTTTTTAATGCGGAAGTAAAAATGTCTTACAAAAACGACGCCCGATGTCACTGAAGTGTATATTTCTGTATATTTTTGGGAAAATCTAGTGTATTCATCATTTTCCTACACATTTATTCACTGGCGTCTCTAACCTGCAAGTTGCTCTTTAAGTACAAGCTCTGAGTACTTCTTCCATCTGTCTGCCAATTTTATTTTGAACACTTAGTAGCTGTTCAAATGATTAGTTAATTATCTGATTGTCCACCTGACAAGACATTTAAAAAATCCTTCATGGTGACCAAATTTACAGAACAGCTGCTCTGCAAAGTGTCACTTGATGTTTAAGGAGGTCAGACAGTAGGTACCTCTGGATGTCGTAGTTGGCGTTGAAGAGGCTGCCCTGCCACAGGCCAGTGAGCTCCTCCGTCTCCTTCTCAGTGGGCTCCCCCGACACTGTGGCAAACACCATCAGAGTCTTCCCCTTCTTGGACATCTTCAGCAGCTCCTGAGGCTTGGAGGGGTCCATCTTGGAGAAGTCGATGGGAGGAGGAGACCTCTTGTGCTCAGGGAGGTCCCCTTCCTCAATGTCATCGTCCTCCTGCGGAACATGAGGAGGAGCAGCCATGTACGGTGAGTCATCAATGCATTGTCCAAAAACGTTTTAACGACATTATCTGAATATCATAGCTGTGTCTTTTTAAAACTAGTTCATACAATACTCAAAGTGTTCATGTGTCTTTCAGTTTACCAACATACAGCCCAGAATGGTTCACATCCAAAATTCAAAACACTTCATACAGGTGTCAAAATCATCTCTGACAGAATGCTTATTTTTTTAAATATTGCAGTATGTGTATTTTATTAATGACCTTTGTGCATGTAAATTAAGTGCTTATGTTACATTGTAATGTACAACATTTTGAGCAAACTTTGTTTAGATTTGTGTTGTGTTAGCTGTAAACAGTCTATCTGTTCTTCAGTAGTTCTGTGTGGAAGTACTGACAGCTACTTAGAACCCGGATTTAAATCATTACATGTATGTGCAAATACTCCATGCTGACTGTTAGAAGAAGTATTCAGATTATTTACTTAAGCAAAAGTAGCAATACTGCAGTGTAAAAAAGACTTAGCTACAAGTAAAAGTCCTGCATTCAAAATTGTACTTAGGTAAAAGTAAAAAAGTATTAGCATCAAATCATACTTTCAGTACAAAAATGCAAAGGTACTAATAAAAGTGGGGCATATTTGAACTACATTTTAAAATACTGGGTTGCTTAACCTATGGTAATATATGATAATGTATTAGTTGATTTCTATTTTGCATTTATAACCTAAATCAATAAAGTAATTAGTAACTAAATATGTAAAATACATGTAGTTGAGTAGAAAGTATAATATTTGCTTACAAAATATAATGGAGTAAAACTATAAAGTAGCATAACATGAAAATATTACTAGTAAAGTAATTTGTATGTGCAATACTTGAATAAATGTAATTAGTAACATTCCACCTCTGCACAGTTACATGTTTCTGATGATGTTTCTTATTAATGATGCTAGCTACATGCCTAGCTAACAGCTAGGCTAGTTGTTAGCTTATGTTTGCCTGAGTGAAAAGCTAACATAACGTTACCTCCCATTGTTCCAGGAGCCGCGCCATATCTGCATCATTGTAGTCTCGGATATCCTTCTTTTTCTTGGCCTTAATTTGACTGTCTGTCGCTAATATACGAAGCATATATGTGCAGAGAAGGAGCACCACACATCTCCACCTGAAGTCAGACGCCATGTTTACAGATGGAGTGTTCTCATTGGCTGCACTCTGCCGGTCACAAGACGGGAGGGGCGTGTTCCAGCTGTAAAAGCGTGACCAGCGGCGCGCTCACCATGTGAGGGATTTTCAAACTAAAGCTAAATGAAACACAATGCGTCACACTTTGCCCCGTTTTCTGTTGATGTTAAACACAAATGTTTTGTTTATTTAACTTGTTCATTCCTTTATAGAGCGTCAAGCCTTTTAAAATAGATATCTATGAATAGATTAAAGGTGAATACTTAAATGATGAGGATAGCAACAGTTTGTCAATGTTCTAATCTATTCCATAAACATTTTGATACATACATCACACTTTGGTTCAACACACATTACATTGTTAGTAGTATACATTCATTGTTGGATTGGGGTTGCTAATAATAAGAAAGACACATGAAAATGAACCAGAATGATACATTAAATTGTATTACATTACACTTTTTTTTTACCCAAATCGATTTATATACATTCAATAATGTGGGCAATCCCCACAGGACCAATTTTGGGGTCAAGTGTCTTGCCCAAGGACAATATGTATTCAAATCAGTGCTTGAATTGGGCCGGTACTCACCGGTACGCAGTACCGGCACTTCTGATTTTTACCCATGTGGTACCGGTGTTGCAGTATAAGTTGAGTCATGACAACTGGCGACATTCTATTATTTTCGTCATAGGAATCCGGGGCGTGTACATTGAGGACCCATTGTTGACTTACCAGGAAAGAAACATCGTTTGTCGTTTACGTTCATCTTTTGCTATATCTGCCTTCCTAAGATCACTTTGCTGCACATTCAGTACTCGTATGTGAGGTTGTGGGTGAGAGGCCGATATCGTGACGCTTACAGGGAGGTATCGAACATTACAAAGTAGGTGACTGTGTGGATGCCTGTTCAAAACATTGCAAACTTGAATAAATCATTTAAATTATATATTTGTGTCCGACTTTCATTTGTTCAT